ATTTCTAATATTATTAAAATAAAGGACAAAATTGAATTTTGGGGAAAAAAATTAATAAATCTAACGGACAGCTACTTGAAATAAAGAACATTGCAATAAAGGATGTAAGATCACCGTAGTAATACCCTGATATTCCTAGATACTTTCGAGCAAAACTCCCTCTTTTCGTGATAAAACTTGACTCGCGTTGAAATATGGAATGTCGAAGATTATTATTTATCGCGAGCAATCGTGATTTATCGTCGATCTTACGAAGAGCCGATCGTAGATTCGTCGGGAAATCTGTTGTTATCGGTTATTGCGGTTAGGAGCTGGCGTACTTGGTATGATGAAACCTTTCTCTCTCTCTCTCTCTCTCTCTCTCTCTCTCTCTCTCTCTCTCTCTCTCTCATCTTCCTCTTCGCGCTCCATCCTGCTTTCGCTCTCCTCTCCGCTCGCCTCCGCTCGTCTCACCGCCACTCGAGTCGCCGGCGATCAGCGGGAGTGGCTCTCTCGCATTCCGGTGCCTCTCTTCGCCGTACCGATCGCGCCGGCAGCGTTTGCACCGATTTCCGGATCGGAGGAGCCCGACGAGATGCCGCTTTTGAAGATCGCGCCGGCAAAGATCCTAATTCGATGCAGCTTTTGCCCGCTCGGTATCTCGGCGAAGGCGGATCGCGCGAGTGCGCCGCGACGCATTATAATGCGTGACGTCGATCCAGCCTCTCAATGTCACGACATTCAGCTCGGCGACAATTCGCGTTGCGACGTCGCGCGAAGAGATAAATTCGTGATATCGCGCAAACTTGAAATTTCGGACGTCACCTGCGCGAAAAGGAAAAGTGATGAAGTTACAATTTGAAGCGAAAATTTAAGACCGAGTTTTACAGCGAGTTGTTCTCGGTTGAACGCACTAATGCGCACTGGTGCATATATATTAAAATCGTTGCAAATTGATTTAATCTGAGTGTAAAAATGAAATGCAAATATTTATAAAATACATATGTACCTAAGAGCGCAGTAAAAGTGTATTGAGGATTTCGCGGTTTAATCCGTTAATTTTTATACATATTTATGTTAAACACACATTTCTATGTCAATTTGTACGAATGGCTGTAATTTTTAGAGAAGCGGGATTTATTTTTTGTCTTGCAACTTTTTCTTGAATAAGATTTGTTATAATACATTATTTCATTGTATTCTTTGCCTCGAAATGTAACACCGTCTACACGACTATTGTGGCTTTCTCATCTTGTGAAGATTAATTAAGAAAGGGAACGGGAGGGTCTATTTTTAAAATCTTACGGTTTTTTTCCGAGTAAGATTTATTACAATTTATTATTTCATTATACTCTCTATTCAAAATATACTGTTTCAGCTTCACTAAAGTAGTTTTTACCGTCTTGTGAAGATTACTATTTAGAGGGCGAGAGTCTATTTTTAAAACCTTACAGCTTTTGAGTATACAAGATTTTTTACACTGAAGAAAAAAAAATCTTATTAAATTTCAAAGAAATATCTCTTTGCTCGTATTCAAAAAAATTATATCTTTGGATCAATGGAAAATTTCTTTGAAAACAAGATATTGTCAAAGAAATTTTCATTGATCCAAAGAAATAATTTTTTTGAATACGAGCAAAGAGATATTTCTTTTGAAATTAAGATTTTTTGTTCAGTGTATAATTCATTATATTCTTTGCCTGAAAATCTGGCACTGTTTTAGTGCCACATAATAGCTTTCCCGTAAAGATTAATGTTCGGGGCTCATTGTGTGTGGGCATCGAGTGTGTCTAACGAATTCGCTATTATAGTCTCGAAAATGAGGGTAACAGCGTCTAGGGTCACTTCACAAATCTCTATTCACAAATCCAACCGAAACCTGTGTGTAGACACTTAACGTACGTCTCCGACGGTGCCATTCGGAGAAGAAAAGATACGTCGACGTCTCTCTTGTCGTTTTCTTCTTTTTTTTTTTTTCTTTTTTGTTTTTCTCTTTCGTGACACTCTTCCGAAGCCAAAGCTCGTAATTCACGAATCCGTTCACCTTGGAAGCCGGGCGAGCGGGCGCGGTGGCGCCGCCAGTACGGTCGAATCTTCCGCGTGGCTATATATTTTTGCAAACTCGGCGGTGACACTATCTCACAGATTCGCGCGGCACTTAACAGCTTACAGTGACACGCGTAATTCGCGGAATTATATTTACGTTCCCTTTGTGGAGTGACGCGCGTGCCAAAATCGCGCACCGAGCTCACCCGTCCGGCCTTACTTTGTAAATAAATTGTATTTACCCGACCGCGCGCACCGGCGTTGTATATTGGACGTCGACCGACGGACAGCGAGTATAATAAACCAGGTTCGCGTATGTCAATTTGTTCCTTATCGGTCGGATAAATATTTGCGCCGATAATCGCTCGTGTGCTCTGATTGTTTGTCACGCCGTTGCACGGCGAGTTTGTTGCCGCGAGTCCAAAAAAATTGTGAAAACTTGGAAAATCTATCCGCGAACATTCGACACCGTTTTGATTTAAGGAGATCTCATGGAGATTGTTATATCTGGAATCATCTCTTTTGTTCAAATTAATGGTTCGTAATTAAAAATAATTTGCGAGATCTTTCGTCAGTTGGATGAGATAATATTTCTTCGCTGATGTATTTTGATGATCAGGATTAAATACGTTATATAATTGAAGTATTTTATCATTAAGATTATTTTTTTGTTGAGATGAGCGAAAAAAGTATTAATTTTCATCAGGAGACGTCGAGTGAGAGTTTTGATTTCTATTTATGCAACAACCAACCCTCGCGTGGGAAACAGGACAAGGATTTGGTGTGAGAGAGAGAGAGAGAGAGAGAGGAGGAGGAGGAGGAGGAGGAGGAGGAGGAGGAGAGAATTCTCCTGCGAAATTAGCTCGACGCGACTCGGCAACGACGGGGGCGAGGCCAGCGGATTTTTAAATAATTGCGTTCCTAAAAATAGACGGCTCTCTCTTCTATCTTCACGATATCCTTGAAGTCCCATTCCTTGTCTTTGCCCTCGTCGCTTTCTCTAATGTTTTAGGGTGCGATGTGGCAGGAAATGCTTCTCCTGTAGGAACGAGATTTTGGAATGCAAAAGGAATGCGACCGACCTCTCATCCAACTTGTCCGTCTGACGTCATCTTCTCGTTTAGTGAATGGACCTGGCCTTCTATGGTCTATCCCTAAAACTATTAACATATTTGTGTCGAGTCTAAAGTCGTTTATATTGTAACCATGTTATTCGCAGTAAACTCGTAACTTTAAAAACAATATTTTATCTTGAGACATTTTGTTTTTAATTACCAATTGTCTTTATCTTGTTAAATATTTCGTTAAAGTCAAAAATATACAATGATTAGATTAGATATATCATTAGTATAATTCTGTCGAAACAAGTAGTATTTTTATAAAAGCATTTCAATAAAATGATTTTCGAAATAAAATCATAGATTTTAGGGGACCAATAAATCACTATGAGATGTAAGAAGAACGAGTTTTAAAAGACATATTAAAATCGAACGTAGGTTGTTTATGTAAACAGATTAACACTGTTTCATCGCGAATTATAGTTGGTCATTCTGTTTGTTATACGAGACTTTTGTCACAGTGCACGCAAATAAATTAACCGTCTCGAGCGAATAATTATTTTGGACGATTCTGTCACCTCCTTTGTGCCGCCATGAAAGAGAAAGAAGCACACAGAGAGAGAGAGAGAGAGAGAGAGAGAGAGAGAGAGAGAGACATTTCCGTGAGGCTTATGAATCACGCGTCTGGCGATTATACCTTGGTTGCTTCTGATTGGTTTGTCTCTTCTGGCCCGAGGAAATTGTTGCTCTTAATTGTTCTCGCTCTGCGATCGATCGTGAATTCTTGCGAACAATTAACGCCATTGATCGCCACTGTCGGCTTTAACATTCAGCCGCTAAAGGTGGTATCGAGTGACAGGGTGCAGTTTATCTCTCTTCGGCGGTAAATAAGAAAGGAGATTTATTTTGCTATCGGATTTACATCTCCCGCGTGCGTTCGCCGCGCTGCATAGAACGCGGTGACGAATCGTTTTACCGTTTGGCACGATGCAACTTAAGAGGCGAACGCATCTCTCCGCGCGCACCTGCGCCGAGAGAATCGAGTTTATTCCGTCTGCTGAAGCGGAGAAATCCGAGACTAGGTATTACGTCGATTAACCGCGCGCGGGACGAGGCGCGGACGGTATGGTCTCATATGAAATTACGTGGAACCTCGCTGCTGGTGTTTACCGACAATAAGCCTTTTATGCAACGCACGCGTCGTGAAATTCTTCTTCACCCGGCTCGGAAAATTCTCGTCGTTCGATCCTCCTCGCGCGATTACGAACGCCTCTGTTCAATGGCGACGCTTATACGCTCACAGAAAAGACAATTTTGCTG